TCTGAGTCATTGTCTATAATTTTTTTATCATTTTTGTTCATTTTCATGCTTTTTGCATTTTTCTATTTAATTAATAGTTAAAATTAACTTTTATTAAAAATAAGAGCAGCATTATAATGTTTTTAAAAATTAGAGAAAAATATCACACCAAAAACGAATTTAGCTCCTTAGACATTCTTGAGCTTATAGTTTTGTAGTAAAATTACATTTTAACTTATTAAAACACACATCCGCGCGAACACACACATATAAAGCAAACTATTTTTAAATCATTGATAATATGATAACCTAATTAGTTAAGAGAAGAATGGCTTACTTACAAAGAGCTCAAGAAAGCCAAACATGAGAAGGGCTCGAAAGCATCCAAGAAAAGAGTCAGCGAGGTAGCCGCCAAGAAGAGCTAAGAGAAGGATAGTTCCAATGAAGTTAGTTACAACGTTGGCTGATTTTGGCAGAGAGAAATGCATGTCGTTTATCAGATACGTTATTAGGTTGTTTGCCACTCCTGCTGCTGCTGTTATTTCAAACGCTTGAAACCCTGTCATCATTTTCATTCTTCAATATTTTAGTAATTAACCAAAACGATCAAAATGAATGAGTTGATATAAAAATAAAAAGTAAAATGCTCCAAAGTTCATAAGAATCATTTTTTTTATTTATATATATAAAACTTTGGAAGAAAATACAATTAGTTTAACCATGGTTGGACCAAAAAGAAATTACCAATAAAAAATTAATTCAATTAGTAAGAATTTGATTAATAACTCACAAGGTTATGGGTTCAAATTTCACTGTCAATATAAGAATCTTGTTGATAGGTAATCTATAAGTATTTTTATAAGCACAGTTTGAACTTCAAGGCATGCACTATTTCTAATGAGCCCCTAATACCTAACTCACCTAAACTTTATAAAAAAAAGCCCTAAAAAATTTGAACTAATATAAACTTTATATTGGCACAATATTATTCTTGAAGTTTTAAAAAAAAGGGTGTCATGTTGTCCTATAATAAGTTTAACCAACGTTGATTATTAGTTGAAGAATTCTTACCAGAATTAAAGGGCATTTTTATCTCAAAATTTTTTTTAATAAGCAATTAATATCCTAAACTTTTGAGTGACATAATAATATTTTGAGACTATTAATGTTCAAATCAAAAAAAAAATATAACAACCGGTTGTTTTAATGTTAAAAAATGTTTTGTATTTCTGGAGTTTGACTAAAGTTTTATTCGAGGTTAGTTGGAAATAAAACCAATTCTACCTTAGTGCTTCGCTTCCTTTTCCTTAAGCAAAGTCTTAACTTGTCTTTATTTTACCTATGAGTAAATCCGAACATGTGCCGACGAGCAGGTTTCAGCTTGTGCAACCTTAATCACCATGAGCAAATACAATCTTGTACCAATTTGTCCATGGACAACAATGACTAGCTCATATTCTAATTTATAAGCGTTCATTCTTCCTAGAATATTGTTCTTCCTATTTCAATGGTTCCTTGAGTATAGTTCTTCTTGGAAACATCTCTAATATTAAAAAAAAAACTTGAAATAAATCCAACAATTAACAATCTAATACAATTTTTTAAAAATAGTGCCGGTTGTGGGGATATCGTAACCGAAGAAAAAAAAAAGAAAAGAAAATAGGGGGAAAAAAAGAATAGAAGAGAGATGGATAGAGAGTGATACCAAGAACAAAAGAAGCAGCCCTGATTCCACCATGCTTGTTGGAATTAGAAGGTCTTCCTCTCCAATCAACACAGCTCTCTGATTCGTTTCTATTTTGGATTCTCTCTCCTCACCTCCATTTTCTCTCTCTAAACCTAACTATTTTCTCTCTGTTTCTTTCTTCCTTTCTCTTAAGCTTGTTTTGTTTCTGTGATAATAAACACAGGAATGAGTAAAATGAGAAGAGAGATTTACTTTTAATTATATTTCTTAATTTGTGGAAATTTAGTTTTGTTTAATTTTTAATGCATATACAAAACAATGTAAAAGGGGGATTCACCTTCTCTCAAATGCAAAATTCACATTAAATGTGTGTTAGATGCCTCTAGAAGAATTACTTCTAATTAAGCACAACAATGTTTGAATATGATTAAGTCAAATAAATATATGTAAAAAATGTGTGTTATATATATTTTCATTTCTAATGCTTAGAGCTAGAGTGTAGAATGAAGGTTCCAAAGTTATTCTCCTTAAATAATATCTCAAATTTGAGTGTTGTGTGTGAAAAAAAATTGACACTGTATGAATTTTACATCAATGTGGTTTGACCCAATTTGATGTAAATTAGTTAAAGTTTAAAATTGCTTACAGAAACCAATTGGTGCATTCCAAAAACAAACATATTAAAAAATCTTTAACAATGCCATATTTCAATTTTTTTTTCGAACTTTATATATGGATGTATGGGATCTAAATCTAATTTGATTAAATAATTAGTAAATATTTATGTCTAGAAATTAATTGTACTTAAAGGAAATATCTTATGCAATTATTGTTTATGCTCTTTTAGCCAAAAAAAAAATCTTTTAAAGTACATCAAATATTATTCTTTTTTATTTATGAATTTAAATACCGTATGAATATCCAATTAGTGCAACCTCCCAATTATTCAACAATAGCCAAATTTAAGTTCAATATAAACTCAACCAAAAAAAAAATAAGAGCAATTCACCATTTAAATCAAAAATCAACTAAAAGCATAATATGAAAATCTAAGTCAACATGCTTAGTTGAACAATTAAAATATTAAATTAATATCTTGACTAGTTTAATAAAGTGATTAGTTTATTATAGTTTTAATCATTAATTCTTAAATCAGTATCTTAACTATTTCAATAACTAATTCGATTCGGTTTCAAGTACCAATTCAAAAGTCTAATAAATCATGACTAATTCTACAATAATCATAAATATTCAACAAAAGCTTTTAATTCTAATAAAAACTTAGCAAAGTCTTCCCTCAAAACTCTCAATTAATCAACAATAGTCAAAATCAAGTTCAAGTCAAATTCACAATTCAAATATCAAATCAATCAAATAATTCTCATGAAATGTATACTAGCAGATTTCATCAATGGAAAATCAAGAAAAACATCCCTTGACATGAAATTCATGTTCCATTAATCAATTTCAAAATGCACAACAAGTATTGACAAATCGGCTTTTAAAAAAAAAATCAAGCATCAAGGAAACAAATTCAAATATAAAAAATCTTGAACAGTGCCAATATTTCCATTTATTTTTCAGGCTTATGGATGTATGGGATCTAAATCTAAACATTTATGTTTAGAAACTAATTTACCTAAAAGAAATATCTTGTGCAATCAATGTTTTTGCTAAAAAAAATTCAAGTAAATACAATATTATTCTTGATTTATGAATATAAATATTGTATGGATGTCCATGATTCAATGTCATAATGAGATTACGAGATGAACGTTCATCTCCCCTATGTTAATTACTTCACATTCCTCAAAGTAAATTCATGGATTCTTGAAATTGATCTTCCCCTAAAATTAATGTTCTCTTTATGATTCATTATTTCATTATTAATATGGTTGAGACCTTTAAGTTATAAATATTTGCCTATACATTAGGCAAGCATCTCATTAGTATTGAAAGAATGAAATAGAAGATTAGAGAAACCATTCTCATTTTATTTTTTATTCATTATTATTATTATCATTTGATAAACAAAGCAACCAGCACATCACATCCTGGTCAAACAGTTGTGCATGAAGCCACAATCCTTATCCACAAGCACCGCAAGATCAGACGGCATATTAAGTACTGCATGGAAACCATTTGCAAAGACAATCCCGCCGCATAATTATGTTCTCCCTTCACGTGCCGCGTATGGACCTCCCCATCCCTAGACAACATGCTTCGAATGTTATCATAAGTATCTCAATATAAATAAGATTCAAATAAACTAACATGCATACATAAAAAATTCATGACTGAATGTGAAACCTCAATTATTTCAAATATAAGTAAATTCACAATCTACTAAACCACTGTAGTTTAACAGAGAGTTCAGAGATAATGAAAAGTATATCATGTTTTAGTAATCGATTGATTGACTTATATAAACCAAATAAGTAACCACTTTTTAATTAATTAATTAATTATCTCAAATTATCCTTGATTCAATTAGTTAAAAGATAAAAATAACTGACAGCTACAGGGTTACATTGGGCCTCTATCTATTGAACTCACTTATATAATTTATCTATCACAGTCCATACAAGATGATAAAGATTATTTATTTGAACTTATTAATTAATACAAATTCATAAATATTTACAAATATTCCAACATCTAATCTCCATCACCGCATCATAGTCATGGTGTTCCGCATTGATAGCCTCAGTGATTAGGGAAACCGCATCAGTAGTGGAGTCAGATTCAAGAACCACTTTCCCATGACCATGGTCCCAAACCCAAATTCTGCAGCAAGGCTGTCTCCCTCCTCCATTCTGTACATAGACCGTATTGATATTCTTCCACATCTGTTGCGTCCTCGCAGAGTCTCGTAGGACATGAAGAATATCTTCAGTCACATGATTACAAGTCGTGCATGTACGTATCCTCCGAACATAAGCCACGGCGTTTCCGACAAGAGTTGGTCAGAAGGCTTTGCTTATAAGCAAGCCACAGAAATGATGATCTATAGCGCTGAGGCACCTTTATTTTCCAAATCCTTCCCCATATGTTATCACCTCCTTGATTATCCTCCACAAGTCTCTCATTGGACGAAGAATTACAAAAATTAATTTTTTTGGGGGGGGGGGGGGGGAAGAATATTTCCCTGCATCATGACAATGGATGTAAATTATTACGCTATCACCGCAGCCACTAAGAAAAAAATTATGTAAATATTGAGGTCGAAGAAATACACCCTTTGCTAATATTCAGCACGAATTGCTCCAAATTACTCCTTGCTTCTGAAAAGCTCGAAAATCACAAACTAATAGCCTTCCCCCCCCCCCCCCCACCCTTTTGCCAACACAAACTTGTACCATATTTACAAATTATGGCAGAAAAACAACCAATATATCCATCACGCACCAATTCCCAATCCAAATAAAATTGGGTCCTCTCAATGGCTGAATCGCTATACTAGTTCACCAAAATCCAGAAGTCAAGGATACAAATAATTGGCTATAGAAATTTTATATTATAAGGACAGTAGACTGTAAAGTTCATTGCATCTAAGACAAAGTTCTTCTATTGAATGATTCCACCGTTAAGTTGGCAGTGAAAGCAGGAATTGAGTTCATCTTCCGAACAAATATCTCAACCTGGGAATGGGCAAGTCACTAATTATGATTCAAGATAAGAAACAGAAAAATAGTCAAAAATTGCATGCATGGCGATATTTCTTTCTCTGAATCAAGTCTTCTTTTTCCATCTACGACGGGTGGGTCTGTTGCGGGGAAAATTAAAAATTAAAAAAAAATTAAAAAAAAAAAATCATGTTTAGATTTTAGGATGATTGTAAATCATATATTCAAGGACGGTCAGAGCCACAGGTCCTAATAATCTTTCAAGTGTCAACCGTTAAAAACAGGATTATTATAATGCGAATAAAATAGAAATAAAAAATCTCCAAGGACATTAAACAGTCACAAGAAATTAAAACTGAGACAAGGCGAGATACATTATCAAGAGCCATCAAACTAACTGTCAGGACCTAATAAATCCTGACTTTGTTTCTTCCTGTTTGGCAAAGTTATACCGCTGAAATCATAATATGAAAATTCAAGTCAACTCGCCTGATTGAACTAATAAACTGTTAAACCAATATCTTTGCCAGTTTAATAAAATACTTCATTTATGACCAGTTTGATCATAGTTAGACTATAGCTTTGACCATTAACACTTGAACCAATAACTTAACTGATTTAATGACTGGCTTGATTTTAGCACTTGGTTGAAATATAAAACCAAGAAGTAACCACTAAGACTGAACCAAACCTAATCATGTACAAAGAGACAAAATAAAAAAGGAACCTGATCTTATTTCTGTACAAGATTAAAGAAATGACTGTCCGAGATCTTCCACCTTCAAAGGATGTACAAGAAATAAAAGTGACAAAAATACTAGAACCTCCTTACCTGACGGGATATATCAGGCTGTGATGTGTAATCGTTTGCCTGTTACATTGACGGAAAAAAATAAAAGTCATGCTACACATTTGAAAGGATTCAAAAGATATTATTGAATCACCACTGGATCTTTGAAAATCAACCTATGCTTTTTTATAATTACTGAAATCATATAAATTTAATAAGTTATACACTTATACCACAGAAAATTCCCAAGGATACAATTCCAACGCTATAATTATGAACTCAAATCAGAATTAATGACTTACCAAAATGTTGGTATTCCCTGACTCGTATTCAAATTCAAGTTTCTCTTCATCACTTTGAGCATAAATTGATTGCAGGGTAAATCGAGTCACCGGGATTCCATTTGACCGCTGGTGTTCGTCCATCACAATCTGCCAACATTTTTTTAATGGAAGAAACCTAATTAGAAAGAAAGACAAATAAAACTAGGTAGAGGGATTAGTTATCTGCTAAAGCAAATTAAACAACATTAAATCATAGACCTTGTAACCAAAAAGTTCACAGCATGCCCTCCTGAAAACTGAAATTCTGTCTGCAAACACTGTTTTGTATCTGTTGATAATTCAGCATTTCAGTTATTCCAGAATCATTTTGAATTTTCGTATCTACAACCCCATAAAGGAGCAAGTAGCAACTTATAAATCACCAACCTTTCTTCTCTTTTCTCAAGAGTAGCAATCTGTTCTTTCAATTGTGTTAGCTTATCTGATATGTAGTTATCTACCAATCTTCCAGCTTCACCTGAACAGTAAATAATTATGAGGCAAATATTAATATATTCAAAAATTATCACTAAACTGTTGACAAGCTCATGATACAACCCCATAGTACATTTGAAACACTCATTTCATTTAGAAAATTCTCATCACAGATGAAGTCTCACTAAAAGGATCAAGAAGCCACACCACTGAAATAACAGGAAATTTCATTTCACTTGTAAACATAGGTTTATTTTTCTTTGTTTTAATTATCCCATCTTCAAAGTACTCTTCTTAGCAGGGCTCCTCCTACGTAGTAGGAATCGTGCCTAGAGTCACACGGTGATGACTTGGCTAATTAGTTCAATGATGCTAGACCACTAACAATGCCGAAGAATCAAGCTCAACATGATTGAATAAAGCAATGGGTAAATCAAATCACCACTTCATCAAGGAAAAGGTGGATTTAGGATACTGAATTTGCCTATGCCACTACAAAGACCCAAGTTGCTCAAGTTCTTGCACAGACTTTGGCCAAAGTAAACTTAGAACAAACTAAATTCAAATTGAAAATGATTTACATCTACTTCCCAGCTCGAGGGAGGGTGCTAGATGAGTTTAGGACTCCTATGATTTAAAGAAAGAAACATTCAGTTTATATCGCATGATTTCCATGTGTATCATAGAAGTTCTCTGGTACTTGTGTGACCAATGTCCCCATATTTATCCCCTCTGCTGTTCAAATAAGATCATCATTTAATGTGAAAATGAGATTTCAGTGCTAAGCTTCTTTAATGTAGATATCTTACTATAAAACTATAGACTCAAAACTTAAACACTTTTTTATATAATTTAAGTACTTGATGTTGTGGTTTAAAGAAGATTATGTTCTTATGAGTGCCTTTTTTATGTGAGTTTGATTTTCATACATGGTCATTGTGAATTGACTTGTTAATTTATTAGATTGTACACTACATTTTCAAGTAGCTCAATAACATAAACACTACAGCATTTTTATAAGGGAAAATGACAATTAGAGACCCCGTAATGACAATTAGAGACCCCATAAGAACATTAATGACAATTACAGACCTGCATTATTGAAATCCCAATAACAGATCATAGTCCTCAGTCCTTACTTGCAATAAATTATTTTTGTTAGTTGGCTTGAGATTCACAATGGACTTTTGTAAATTCCAAATTAGCATTACAAAGATTCTCAAGTATCTTTGTTGATTTTCCAAGCGATAACAAAAAATCACAGCATTTGACTTGTAATTCACAACTAACTCCCATAAATTATCAACTGACGTTACAAATATCCAAGTGCATTTTGTAGATTTCCCAAGCAATTTATCTACATATTGACAGCAAAAAAATCACAAGCAATTAGCTTACGATTCACAACTGACTCTCATAAGTTCCCAACTAATATTACAAATAATTCCAAATGTATTTTCTAGATTTCCAAGTGGTTTATATGTATATTGACAACAAAAAATTGAGATTCACAACTGAATTTATTAAATTCCCAACTAACATTACAAATAACCCCAAGTATATTTTGTTAATTTCTCAACAAACTATTCACTTTTTTTTTAATTGCAAGTAAGGACAATAGTCTATTATTGAGATTTTAATAATTTAGGGTTTGTAATTGTCATTAATGTTCTTTTGGAGTCCCTAATTGTCATTTTCACTTTTATAATCTCTTCAATATCTCATATACAAGCAGAATCTGTTCATACTCAAGCCAGATGTTCAAAAGGAACAAATGAAAAGAGCTAGACTCCAATGTGCGTGCATGCAAGCAGAGCAACAATAGAAAATGACCAAACATCCCCCATCAAATACTGGCTAACATAACAAATCTCTTTCAAACATAATTAAATCTTTATTTCACTCTTTGTCCCAAAAAAAGGGAGAATTACATACAAGTTCCAAATAAAAAATAAAAAAATTACCCACACGTCTTAGCCACTTGTAAATAGATAAGTTTGACACGTAAATGGGACTTAGGAAATAATTAATTTCATTTGTATTTCTCCCAAAAAAAAAAAATTTTATTTCACTGCCCGTCATTAACAAGGTTCATTACCTGATTGATTCTTCAATTCTTCAACAGCTTTTAACTTCTCTTTTGTTTTTTGCAGCTCAGTTTGTAATGCTTCTATGGTTTGTTTGGGCCTCATTCTCTACAGAAAGAGTATTCACCATTCGCAAGAACTTTTGTATTTGCAGCAGAATAATCACCATGGCCCAACTATAGAAGGAAAAGCAAAATGCAAATAGTTAAATAGTAGGATGAATAGTAAAAGCTGGACAGCTTTATAAGATGAACTGTGTAACAGCTATCCAGCAAAAACAAAATAGCCCGTTTCAGTACTTTATGGGAAGCATTGATAAGTAAGAAAGAAAATCATTATTGTTCAGCATTTCCCCATACTCCACAAAGACATAAGCCTCATCTTGCAAACTAGGTGAGACATACCCAAAAATTTCCCCTTTCCAAGTCTATCTGTCATATATATGATTAAACTATTCTCTCTACCCCTGTCAGTAGCAGCATAAATTCTCAATTAATTCGGCAACCTCCAATGAAGAACCAGTTTGGTCATAAAAAAAAGCATTTGGCATCACTCCATTGAGGGTTCTAGTATGATAAAAGAAAAAAAAGACATATACGGGATATGATCATTAAAAAGCTAAAATAACCTATAAATTTATATTCCACACACATGAAAAAAATGTTCAATGACAAATAAATCC